CTATAATAGTCATGAAAATTATAAGTTGTCCTGGTTAGCATGGCAGCTGGTAAGCAAATAGCTCCCTCAATTCTATGTCAGTAACTTTTGATATCTGGGATTTGCCAGATTAAAAAATTCATTTTCAATGATTGAGAAAATTCATTCTCTGGGTTGTCTTAACAAAAAGATACCAGTGAAGGGTCCAGGGAGCCACTTACCTATGATCAATTTGGTATAGAAGTAGTTATAATCTTGAGATGTCAGCTGCTGCCTATTGTAAAAGAGCAACTGGAATTTCTTCCATAGAGAACAACAGCAACAACAAAAAAATCATTATTTAAACATGCCATTTAAGTATGTATAGAAAATAGTTTAGTAGAAAACTAAGCTAGAGGACTATTCAGAGTATAAGAGTATATATTATCTTACATACTAGTCATATATATGACTAAGTTTAGAAAGGAGATTAAGGTTACTTTTATTACTAAGGGCCCTAATCCCTATTCATTTAATAGTAAAGGATACATCATCTATCAAAGTAAAAATAAAAGTTTAAAGCAATTTAAAATTGCTTTAAGAAGGTCAGGAATTGTTTTTGGGTACTCTTTCCAATACAGGGTCATGACTTTAATAATAACTAAAAATAAATGTACACTGTTGAGCATTTTTCCCAAAGGAACACAGAACCTTTAGAATACCTTGGGGGAAATTACTAACTTCTCTTGAAATTAATAAATTCTTATAATATTCATAAAGGTTATTGATAAAGGTTTTCTAATTTTGCATTGCAGATGGAAGACCAAAGAACTTGGCCAATATTTTCCATTTTCAGGGATGAGCTGACCAGAACTCTTATAATGCTCTTTCTTTTGCAGTTCATCTATCAGTTGGTCTTTTCTTTTTTTCTCTAACATAGAGTGGGCAGATAAAAAATAATTATTTGTCCTTTGTTTTAGAGTCTTACACCAATCACTGAAATTCCTTGGCATACTCTCTGGACTATTTCAAGTTAAATAAAAGTTACTTAGTTTCTAGTATGTAACACTGTCCTCCTATTTCCAATTATTTAAGGCCCAACCTATAGGTTTATATATTCCCGCATATGGTCATTTGACACACTAACATCAGTTTGGGCTATGTGACTATTGGAGTCTCTTTCCCAGCCGGCGTAGAAAGAGTTCCAATTCAGGGTTCAGCTTCTGGAGAAGGGCCGCACACAAATGAAGAGACTTAAAGAAATTTAATTTGGCGACTTGGGGGGTCAGGCGGTAGTCCAACTCTAGTGGGAGAACTACGACTGCTCTGGCCCTGCCATCCCCTTTTATTGAGGCTTAACAGCTGCTTCAATTTAACATAATCTCAACTAAAGGTTTAAAGCAATTGAGGTTGTTGACCAGCCTTCCTGGCTTCCTGTCAACATCTCTTTCCCAGCTGAAAAAGATTTAGTTTCCAGCATCTCCCCCGTTTTCTTTCCCTAAAAATTTTTACATAAGTAGACTACAAATAAACAAACAAAAAATGAAATAAGCAACAATGGCTATGCTGAGTCAAATGAAATCAGTCTGCAGTACATTTCTTTCTGGGCCAACAGTTTTTGAATCCCAGATTCAGTGTATACACAGTTTTTTGTGTTTTTTTGTTTGTTTGTTTGTTTTGTTTTGTTTTTTGAGTCCAAATTTTAATGTCCAACAGTTCTGAGTCCATGACAGCAATGGTATCCGGATGGTGGAAAAATGGTGTCAATGCAGGTCCGACCTCTGGTTTGGTCCTGGACAACCTGCAGCGACGTACATCTGCTGACTGCTAGTATGGCAAGGCGTCGTCAGCATCTTCCATCTCTGGTCTGTTTTTCCTCCTGTCTTTATGGCTGGAGTATTCCTGTCAATTCTTCTCTGTTGCAGGAATCCACATGGTCTTAGAGTTGTTTTCTGAAAATATACAAACATATCTCGACCAAAATTAATAAAGGAATCTTTTCTATTAATTTTACTTGGGATACTTTTAATTTTTTGCCCAAACAATTTTTCTTTGACTTATTTTGGTACTATGTGTGTTTTTCATGACTGTCTTACTGTTATCATTACAAATGATTTTGAAAAATTGGTTTTCAAAAGAAGAAAAATTTTTCTAAATGTAATTTACTTACAGGACATTTTTTTTTTTACATGGTATTTTCCACTATCCCCCTTTTTTCTATTTAATTATTAGGAGGCTTTTGGAAAAATTTTATAATGCAGTTTTGATAACTTTTAACTTTTAATTTTTTGTACAAAAACTATGACTGCTTTAGGGTTTATTGTATGTTAAACAATTTTACCATGAAATGGACTACCAATAGAAATTTTGGTTAATACTTTAGGAACAGCCTGTTGTACAATTAAATTTTCTTGAATATTAACTCATTTCATTTAGCCAATTTAAATTAATTTGAAAACTTGACTATTTTACTCTCAAATTTAATACTTTAAACATTTTTAGTTTACTCTGTAAATATTAATGGAAAAGATTATATGCATCCTTGAGGAAGCCCTGAGCACTCGTAGATTTAGGCTGGATCTAGATTTAGGACAGTCGCCATCAGCCACTTTTCTGTTGCTTAGGTCTCAATAAGAGCCGTGCCAAGTCTCTTGTTTGTAGCTGGGTCTCAATCTGAGCTGGACCAAATCTGTTTGTTGCCTGGGTCACAATCTGAGCTGGGTATGGGAAGCGTGAAGCAGCCATGGGACAGGAGACATCCCTCAAAAGGGCGAGTGTTCAAGCCTCTGCAGCGTTGGGGGAGTGAGGATCTGTGCCCCACCTCTGTTGGCCCCCAGGTCCTCTCCTGATGGCCCTCTGTGGCTGTGCCTGTCTTAGGTTGTCCCTCCCGTGAGGAATCTTACCCGTCATTGGCTAACCAGCCATCCTCCAGGGCCAGGCAGGGTGATGTGAGGTTCAGTTCTGTCTCCTTGTAGCCTATGCCCCTATGGCCTCCATGCTCAGTACCTGCCTTGGGATCCCCTTGCCTGCTGGCGGGGCCCCGGCATTGATCACAGATCTTAGGGAACCCAGGTTTCTTCTCCAAGGAGGATCCAGCTCACCCCATTGTGTGAGAGACGGATCCATAGTACCAGCCACCATGAGGTTTTAACCTCAGCATGAACTGAAAACTCAAGCAACAGCTGTGGGCAATTATTGTGATGAGAGGGTCCCTCTTCGCAAATAAGGCAAGAAAGGCCAATATAGAATGCTCAAGTACCTTCCCAGTGAGGCTTTCCACACAGTGGAAGGGATTAAATCCTTTCATGTCCTTTTAAATTGCTGCCAAACATTCAAAAATTAGATTTTTAATTTTGTTTGGAATAATTGTACAACATGCTGTTGTAAAATATCAAAAATTATAAATGACATTGTAGAATAATACCATGCAAGGATATTCTTTGTTCTAAGCAAATGGAAATTCAAATTTAAACTGGTTATCAATTTCTTTTTGTATAGACAAGGTTTTAGTTACATTTCTCTGCACCTCTCCCAGGAGCAAGTAGTGATATTTCTCTACTTTGGTGCAAGCCAGAAACCTCTCTTTAGTTTTTTTAAACAAAGGAGCATTGGTTTGATTTTGTGTTATACAAAAAGTGAAGCTGGGTGGCAATACCTGTGTAATTATACTTCCTTGCCCCACCCATTTTCCTCCTGGATGACCAAGGTGTTTAGTATTATTGGTGACTACATTAGGCAAGGGATCAGCCCACATAAGGGCTTTTACCCATGAAGGGTCAGGAACATAAGTCCTAAACACTTCCACATTTGTCCCAGGTAATATTACCGTACAGATGATTACTGCTAACATGGCCCAGGTGTTCTCCGGGCTGTTTGCAGTCCGGCTCATCCTCCTGCTCATCTTCAGTGGACTGCTTGGAGTCACTGCCCTCTGTAGCTGGAGTAGTTGATTGTCTGCAGCTGCATGGTGTGGCTTCAGACACAAGGTCCTCATTAGTCTGGCTAGTTTCTCTCCTGGATCCCTGTTGCAGTTTAATATTTCTAGCAGGAATCCACACTGGTTTGGGAAAATTTTCTGGGAATATACAAGCATACCCTCTGCCAAACGTTAACAATGGATCAGGTCCCTTCCATAAACCAGATTCGGGATCCTTCCATTTAACTAGACCATTTTCTTTTATTTTACTCTGATGCCAATGTATTTCCATAGGCGTCCTTCCTTCATCATCACAAGTGAAAAAGTTTAAAGTAATTAAGGCTTGGTGCAGCCTACCTGCAGGTGATTTCTCTATCATCCCACCTTTTTGTTTTTCAAGTTGGGATTTTAGCCGCTGATGCTGTCGTTCAATAATGGCCTGTCCTTGGGAATTATATGGTATTCCTGTAATATGCTGAATTTTCCACCTTTTACAAAATTTTTGGAATTGACAGCTGTGTAAGCAGGCCCATTAGCAGTTTTAATACTTTTTGGAATTCCCATGACGGCAAAAGCAGCTAGAGAATGATTAATAGCCTGCTTTGCCGTTTCTCCTGTAGATGCAGTAGCCCATAGGACTTTTGAAAAGGTATCTACGGAGACATGTAATGCCCCAAGGCGTCCAAAGGAATTATAATGTGTTACATCCATTTGCCAGATATGGTCTTTTAGCAAACCTCTGGGGTTGACTCCTGTGTTAGGCCCTTGAGGTAGATGTAACATGCAAGTTGGACACTCTTTAATAATCTGTTTTGCCTGTTGTCGAGTGATTGAGAATTGTTTAGACAACATTTTGGCAGGCTGATGTAAAAGCTGATGAGATTCTAAAGCTTCTTTCAATAAAGCAACCAGTTGATCAGCCTGTGCATTTCCTTTTGTTAAAGGACCAGGTAAGACACTATGAGCCCTAATATGAGTGATATAAAAAGGATATTGTCTCTGTTGTACAATCTGCTGAACTTGTTTGAATAGTAAAGATAAACTTTGGTTACTAAGCCATTTCAATCTGGCAGTTTCAATTCTATTCAGTAAGTTTGCAGCATAAAAGGAATTAGAGACAATATTAAGAGGTTCTTGGAAATCCTGCAATGCAGCCTTAATAGCTTCTAGTTCAATTCTTTGTACAGAAGTATGACTGGTCAGTATGACTCGGTCTGAATCTATTGTATGATAGGCAGCTTTCCCATTTGATGATTCATCAGTAAAAACAGTTAAAGCTCCAGGAATAGGTTCCTGCCTAGTATTTTTTGGTATAATGATGGAGGTATTATATAAAAATTGTAATAATTTATCTTTTAAAAGATGACAGCTAAGTTCCCCTGAATATCCACTTAACCCAATTTGCCAATTTATATCAGTCTGAAATAACATTTCTAATTGCTTCCCAGTGAGGGGGAGGTAGATACACTGGGGCTCTTCCCCTCTAAGCTGTTTACAACGTTTCCTAATTTGAAATAATAATTGGGCTAATAATTCTACATATGTAACTGCAGTTTTAGAGGATTGATGTCCTAGGTGGATCTATTCAATAATGGCAGGAGAATTTTTATTTTGAAAGATGACTCCAGTGGAACTATTTCAGTAGGGTTAATTTGTCCCAATAAAGGCAATTCGGGCTGTACCCGTGCTACTTGAGCTGAGGAAATTGCCTGCTCAACCCTTAGCAATTCATTCCTAGCTTCATCAGTTAAAGTTCGGGGAGAAGAAAGATTAGAATCACCTCTGAGTAAACTAAATAAATTTGTCATTTCTCCTGTAGAGATCTTCAGATAAGGTCTTAACCAGTTAATGTCTCCTAATAATTTCTGAAAGTCATTTAAAGTTTTAAGACAATCTTTTCTTATCTCCACCTTCTGAGGCCTAATGCTTTGGTTTTCAATTATGGTTCCCAGATATTGGAAAGGTATTTCTTTTTGTATCTTCTCTGGAGCAATTCTTAAGCCCCATTTAGGGAGCTCCTCTTCTAATTGGGAGAACATGGCCAAGGTCTGTTCCTCCCATGGGCTTGCTAAGAGCAAGTCATCCATGTAATGAATAATGTAACATTGGGAATATTTGTCCCTTAAAGGCTGAACAGCTTGAGCCACATATTTTTGACACAAAGTAGGGCTATTGGCCATTCCTTGAGGTAAAACTTTCCATTGATATCTCTTCATAGGCTCTATATTATTAATAGATGGCACTGAAAATGCAAATCTCTTTTTATCTTGAGGTGCCAAGGGAATTGTGAAAAAACAATCCTTAAGATCTACTACTATGAGGGACCAATTTAAAGGGATTTGTGAAGGCGCTGGAAGTCCAGGTTGTAAGGCTCCCATGGTATGCATAGTAGCATTAACAGCTCTAAGATCATGTAACAATCGCCATTTTCCTGTCGCCTTTTTAGGGATTGTAAATATAGGCGTATTCCAGGGACTATTGGAAGGTTCTATGTGGCCAGCCTCTATTTGTTCTTGTATTAATTCATGAATTTTACTTAATTTCTCCTTGGATAATGGCCACTGATCCACCCATACAGGTCTATCATCTTTCCATTGTATAGGATCAGCATGAGGGTGAGGAGGCTGAGCAGTGACCACTCCTAAAAAGGTTGATATCCTATTTGAGTTATGAGCTTCTTTCCTTTGCCAGTAACAATACATGCTTGTAAATCTTCTAAAATATCTCGGCCCCATAAGTTGACTGCAATTCCAGAGATGACGTAGGGCTGAAACCATCCTGTCTGTCCTTCCTCATCTTGCCACCTTAACACTGCTGCACTACGTTGTGTGTCATTAGGAATTCCTACCCCCTTAACTGAGCCCATAGCTTCTACCGTGGACCAACTTGGAGGCCAGAACTCTTTGCTGATAACACTTACATCAGCTCCAGTGTCCACTAGACCCTTAAATTGTTTTTCCTCTATCCTTAAATTAATCATAGGACGGTTTTTGCTAATTTCATGTATCCAATAGATGTCTGAACTTGCCAATCCTTGCATTCCTCTTTTCCTATTTAAAGCCTCACCTTGCTGAACATAAGGTCGAAGTAATATCTGAGCAATTCTTTGTCCTACAGTAATTTGCATAACATGATTACATTCTAATATAACTTTAACTTCTCCTTCATAGTCTGAATCAATGACTCTAGGCAGGACAGTTAGTCCTTTTAGAGTGTTTCCACTCCTCCCTAAGATTAATCCTAAAGTTCCCGGTGGTACAGGTCCCCAAATTCCTGTAGGAATAGCTTGCCGAGCCATGTCAGGGGTCAAAGTGACCACAATAGTGCTGTTAAGATCCAGGCTTGGGCTTCCTGGGGTTGCTCGGATGAGGAGATCCACTGTGGGCCTTGCAGGGCAGATTTCCCCTATTGATGACGGGGCTGGGGGTCGCCCCTCTGGCCGTTTCCCGGTAATTGACCATGCCCTCTATCTTGATCTAGAGGCTGCCCGTTTTGATGAAATTTTGATCTACACTGACTGGCCCAGTGGTTCCCTTTCTGACATCTAGGACACCGAGAGACTAAATCTGGAGGCCGAGTGTTTATGCCTCTCCCAAGCCTTCTCGGCTGCCTACATTCCTTCTGAAAATGTCCTCCTTTTCCACATTTATAACACCTCTTATTTCCACTTGTTACTGCAGCAGCAAGTAAATTCGCTTGAAAAGCGCTTGATCCTACATTCTGACATGCTTGGATCATTTCTGTAATGGTACTATTTTTTCTCAAAGGCATCAGGCATTTTTTACAATCAGCATTGGCATTTTCATAAGCTAATTGTTGAATTAAAATATCTCCTGCTGCCTCATGTTGAATCTGTCGTTTCACTGCTAGAGTGAGACGAGCCACAAAATCAGAAAATGGCTCTAAAGGTCCTTGCATACATTTAGTAAAAGATCCCTGTGGATCTCCTTTTGTTGGTAAAGCATACCAGGCTTTTCTACCACAAAGTCTAATTTGCTCATATGCCTGTTGCACATAATGTAGCTGATTTTGTACATCCATATACTGTCCTAGTCCTGCCAGCATTTCATAAGTTATTTGAGCATTTGGCCCTCCGTTTGCGCGGGCTTGCTCTTGACATTTTTCCAAAAATTCTCCTTTCCATAGTAAATCATCTCCTCCATCCAGAGCTGCACGAGCCAGAGAATACCAATCATAAGGAGCTAAGAATGCGTCAGAAATACTATTCACAATTTCTCTTGTAAAAGGAGCTGTTGGACCATTTTGAACAACACTTTCTCGCAAAGCCTTTATCATTTTAAAGTCAAATTTTTCATGGTATCTTATTATCTGATTTTGGACCTGTGGGTCAGCTACTTGTTCAACAGGAAAAGCAAGCCTTTCTTCCACAGACATGTCCTTCATTCCTTTTCTGATGGCTCTCTGTATAGAAGATTCTATTGGTGGTGAATTAAATGTTCCAGGATTAGGACATGGAGGTGAAGGGGGCCATAAAGGCCATTCCTTCAAGTTTTCTTCCTGCTCTTCTCTGGGAGGAGCAGAAGGAAGCAGGTGAGGAGCTTCCTCCTCAGCCTCTCTAAAAGGCTCTAATAATCTAAATACTGCGTTCCCCATGGAAAAACAGTTTTTCTGAGGTGCCTTGTTTCCTGCTGCTAAGCCCCTTTTCTTCAAAAAAAAATTTTTTTTTTTACCACCTTTTGCTAAACACTCAAGATCTAATGTACCTTCTTCAGGAAACAAAGGGTTGTATTCTATATTTTTATAACCGAATTCTTCCCCATTAGCCTGGCTGAAAAGAGACGTTCCCACCCTGCTTACAGTTCGCGACGCTGCAGCTGGTCGTGGGCTTTGAGTGCGGTGAATTTCCCTCACCTTTTTTCTGGTGAATCTTCCCTCACCTTTTTCTGGTGAATTTTCCCTCACCTTTTTCTGGTGAATTTTCCCTCACCTTTTTCTGGTGAATTTTCCACACCTTTTCTCGGTGTATTTTTCCTCCTTCGCTCTAGGCGAAAAATACCTTCTCCTCCAGAAGTCCCGCGTTGAAGGCGCCAGATATTGGAGTCTCTTTCCCAGCCGGCGTAGAAAGAGTTCCAATTCAGGGTTCAGCTTCTGGAGAAGGGCCGCACACAAATGAAGAGACTTAAATAAATTTAATTTGGCGACTTGGGGGGCCAGGCGGTAGTCCAACTCTAGTGGGAGAACTACGACTGCTCTGGCCCTGCCATCCCCTTTTATTGAGGCTTAACAGCTGCTTCAACTTAACATAATCTCAACTAAAGGTTTAAAGCAATTGAGGTTGTTGACCAGCCTTCCTGGCTTCCTGTCAACATCTCTTTCCCAGCTGAAAAAGATTTGGTTTCCAGCATGTGACTATTTGTCCAATGCAATGCAAGCAGAAGTGGCATACACAATGGCAAAGCAGAAGCTTTAAGAGCCATAGTGTGCTTTAGTCATTTCTCCCTCCCTTTGCGATGACAATGGCATGCCCAAAATGGAAGGATTAGGAAAGAGCACCAAGGGTAAAGAAGTGTCATTAGAGACCAAGTCTAAGATTATTCACACTTTAGCATTCTTAATTACTATGTAAGAATGCAAATGCTGGACAGTAAAGGAGATTGATAGAAAAAAAAACGATTCATTTGGAATATGGTGTTGGAGGAGAGCTGCACCAATAACCTGGACTGCCAGAAAGACAAACTAGTGGGTCGTAGGGCAAATTAAGCCTGAAACATCACTCGAGGAAAAAATGACAAATGTGGGAATTAAAAAAAATGAAAGCTGAATAGTCAGACCTGTTGTGCACCTCGTACCAGGGCCAGACTGGAAATACAAGTAAATTAGACAAAATTCACCTGGAATTACCAACTGAGGTCTAGTTGAGGAGGAAACTTATATCAAGGAAGGTCAGAAAACACCTTAAGATGAGTAGGAAGGGTGAGGTTGTGAGAGGAGCTGACCCAGCTCCCAGGGGCAGCAGACTGAGAGAGGAGAGAGTGCTGGGCTAGGTAAGGGAGGGTCTGTTCCCTCAAATGATAGAGGCGTGAAACCCAGCCTGAGCTCCAACAGCCCTGAGCACCAGAGCTGACACCCACTGCTGAAGTAACATCCAGCCTCAAAAGACATCAAAGCTGCTGGCCATGGAGGAGTCTGGAGCCAGCAGACCAGAGCCTAAGAAAAGATTGGGGTGGGAAACATTATGAAGAGACTTGGAAAAACAGCAGCCAGAAGCATTTGGTCATATGCCCACAAAGAAAAATGGTTATTATTATTTTTTTTTTTCTTGAGAGGAGCAATCTGCTACCAGTAGCTCCAGGGCAGAAAAAGAAAAACAAAAACCTGATTCTATTGTATTATATTCACCAGTCCATTCTGTTCTTCAGACTTTTTATTCACTTGATTTTTAGACTCACTTGTTGAAATATATGTATTTGTT